ATAAATATAAGGGGAAATATCAGAGAAACTATAGTTACGCTCGTTGAATTTGACACTTTATGTCAGTTTAGAACATATTTTTATACTTTTGTGCTTAGTCGTAAAAGTGCTTCACTTTTATGCCTAGGCATTAAAATGAATTTTTTTATATTGTCTCACATCGCAAAAATTAATACTTTTGTGACGTTTGAAAAACCATAATTACTTACTTTACTGATTAATTTATTTTATCAGGAGTAAAAATGACACCTTTTTTGGTGAAGCTTTACGTTTGACAGACGAGGCACAAAAAGTAATTTTTACTCCGAATAGAACAAGATATTTTTTCTCAAACGTCACAAATAATTTTTTAAACAATTTCAACGGTTGCAAATTATATAAAAATATTTTAAGGAAGTAAGTAATTATATATCGAGAAACTATTTTTATGGTCGCTGAATTTGACACTATGTCAGTTTAATAATATATTTTCGTACTTTTATGCCTAGGCGTAAAAGTACTTTACTTTTCTACCTAGGCGTTAAAATGACTTTTTTGTATTGTCAATCACGTCGCTAAAATTAAGACTTTTGTGACGTTTGAAAAAAAAAACAAAATTTGACCATTTACTGATTTCACTAAGGCCATTTTCTAATCGTCAAAAAACCGTTTACGAGAAAAACAAGTCGCACAAAGACGCGTAGATCGTTGACACCGCACCATAGTACCACCACCTACTTCGTCTTCTTCTTACCTCAGTGACGTAAGAGTGACAGTCTTGGGTCGGCGCGCGGTGACGTCAGAGGCCGCTGAACCTCGACCAGTGGCGCGGCGGCGGGCGCCGGGCGAAGAACCGATCGTTCTCGAATCAACCCATATTCGGTTCTAAGAAGTTCTTTGACCGGTCAGTGTCCAATTAGGGCCCTCGCTCGGGTCAACGCTCTGCGGGGCCGTTTCTGACTCTCTTTGTTGTTGTCATAGTCATAACGCTATATCTATTTTTTTCGTCTTTGTTGGAGTTATAGAAATCAGCTTTGATACTGTTGATAGAAGTTGTTGATAAGATAGATATAGTTCTTGATAAAAGAGAATAGTTCTCACGTTCATAATTTTGATACAGGAAATCTGTGTATTTTACCTTTGTAACGTTGAGAAGAGTTTTATGTAGTTATACCGGGTGACAACAAAATCGTTGTTTTAGCTTCCATTTGGGTGCTCCAGCTTCCTTTATGGATTCATCAAAATTCACATTTGTAGTTTATTTCCCTGTTTAACAAAAAAGTGAGCATAAGCGAAGAATTTTAAATTACACCCTGTATATTTTTTTTAGGAAAATCCGTTGTGTCCGCTGTTTCTTTGCCGCCTGCTTACATGCGTTATTTGGTGATGCAAAATCTGGTCACATAATCCAATGTACTCAGAGGTGCATAATATAATATACTGTATGTCCCAGGATTGTCTTTACAAGAGAAAAACTTATTTTTTATAGACATTTTGGGAAATTTGCATTTTTTATAAACAACTAGCGTGTACCCGCGACTTCGTTCGCGTCTAATTAATCATTTGTAATGGTGATGATAAAGCAAAGCAAGAATTTCCATTAACATACAAACTGGATAAAATTTTCTCACATTTATGTCAGCATGAGAAAAAACAATATGGCGATATTATTATATAACTTGGTAATATTTGAGGGGTCGTTTCATCTCGTTGAAATTTGACTTTCGAAATATCCGTTTGCCAAAAATAAGCTTTTTACGTCAAGCAGTTTAAGCAGAATCGTGGTTAATCAATTACCCAACTTTTTAGAACATCCTGTATGACTTTTTAAAAAATTTCAAAATATGTAAAAAAAACAAAATAAATTATGCGTGTCCAAGCGTTTTCCCGAAAGACTAACCGTTTTTTAAATAACAGATATTGTAATATTTGAGGGGCGTTTTCACCGTCTTGGAATTTGAGATTCGAGAAACCCCTTCTTATCGAACCTTTACACCCCACAGTCAATCCTTTTTTCAAAAATCAGCTTTTTACGTCAAGCGCTTTAAGCAGGATCGTGATTAATCAATGTCCAGATTTTTCGAAACACCCTGTATACATTTTTAAAAAACCTTAAAATATGTAAAAAAACAAAATAAAATATACGTGTTTAAGCGTTTTTTCGGAAACGACCGTTTTTTAAATAAAAAAATATTGTAATATTTGAGGGGTGGTTTCACCCCCTTGGAACTGGAATTTCGACACCCCTAGAATCAACCTGTATGCCAAAATTGAGCTTCTTACGTTGAGTGGTCTGAGCAAGATCGTGATTAATCAGTGAATCAGTCACTTAAGGATTTTGTATATTAGTATAGATTGCCATTACCCCTACCAAACTCAATATCTAGATGCGTCACTCAATGTATCTAATCGCTGCCTAAAGAAAGGGTTGATACGTGAAATATAATAATTAGGGCCCGGAGGTCAACGCCCTACAGTGGTTCAGCCTCTCGTCCTCGTCATAGTCGGTCAATTTGCAAAAATGAGCCCATAAACGGGGCACAGCGGCGCAGCGCCGCGCCGCGGCGAGCCAGCTAGCGAACGCGCGCGCGACCTCATTCGGGTACGTCGTCCCCGTTTTTCGGATCGCACTATTGTTCTGACCCCGATACGTACCGAAAATTCGATAAACAAATCGTGTCGATCCGATTGAGCAAGATAAACGCGCGCGCTAGCGGTTGCGGCCAACCTTCGAAAGCCATTCTATTTTCGATTTTTTTCTCTTATCTCATTCGTTCTCTTTCTCTCACTTGAACGTGGTTGGGTAACTCTGGTTGGGGTCGTTGTAGTCGAAATTCCAGATTATACTACCAGTGATTCATTGAAAAAAAAACCTAACTATTTATTAGTTTCTTCTTGCGTCTCAATGATTTAATATATTAAACATCCAATATTATATTTGTTATTCACATGGAAAATGTATTATAATTACTATACCTCAAACTTAAAATTTGTTAAAGAACTACTGGAAAATGTTTCTACTTGATTTCTGATTCTGAAATCGGGGATTTATTTATACACTAGCGTTACACTAATCATTTGTAATGGTGATGATAAAGCAAAGCAAGCATTTCCATTAACATACAAACTGGATAAAATTTTCTCACATTTATGTCAGCATGAGACAAAAAAACAATATGGCGATATTATTATATAACTTGGTAATATTTGAGGGGTAGTTTCATCTCGTTGGAATTTGACTTTCGAAAAATCCGTTTGCCAGAAATAAGTTTTTTACGTCATGCAGTTTAAGCAGAATCATGGTTAATCAATTACCCAACTTTTTGGAACAAGATTGCTGTATGATTTTTTAAAAAATTTCAAAATATGTAAAAAATATGTAATTATGCGTGTCCAAGCGATTTCCTGAAAGACTAACCGTTTTTTAAATAACAAATATTGTAATATTTGAGGGGCGTTTTCACCCTCTTGGAATTTGAGATTCGAGAAACCCCTCCTTATCGAACCTCTACACCCCAAAGTCAATCCGTTTGCCAAAAATCAGTTTTTTACGTAAAGCGCTTTAAGCAGGATCGTGATTAATGAATGATCAGATTTTTCAAAACACCCTGTATACATTTTTAAAAAATTTTAAAATATGTAAAATTATTGTGTATCAAATGTGTATTATTTGAGAGGTGGTTTCACCCCCTTGGAACTGGAATTTCGAAAAATCCCTTCTTATCGAACCTCTACACCCTAGAATCAACCTGTATGCCAAAATTGAGCTTCTTACGTTGTAGTGGTTTAAGCAGGATCGTGATTAATCAGTGAGTCAGTCACTTAAGGATTTTATATATTAGAATAGATTAAATATTTTATATAGGGTGATATAGCAACCGGGAATATCTCCCAGACAACAAAATATTATGAGTAATATTTCTCCAGGAATTTTATTTTTTAACTTATCTAGCAAGGCACATTGTTATTGGACAAAAATTCAAATTATAATTTTGATTTTTGATATAATTAACGCTATAATTCATTTTTAATATTGAGAAAAAAGTTAGGAAACAATTTTTATTGCATTTCAAGTAATGTTTTAACAAATTTTATTAATCATTCCAATGAAATAGTTAAAACATTATCTGTATTTGTTTTTTTTTATTGGTCGAACAATTAAGCTCGTATGTGTGTCAACTTATTTGTTAATCAGTCATTAGTATTATTGTTTGGGCGTATTTTGCTCGGATAAGACGTCGATTTGTTTATAATCCTCGGTAAATAGTACTACTTGCATTTTTGTTTCGTTACGATTGCGATTCGAGCCAGATTCGAGAGCGCCGAGCGAGGTCGTCGACCGCTCGCTTGGCCCGAATATTCGAGGACGCCATGTCCCGAACCCCGTCCGCGGCGCACACCTGTACTTTACAGGACGCTTTATTCATACTTGTAAGGGCCGATAAGGGAGCTGTGTACTTGTTTACGCACTTCACGTACGAAATCGGGGCAATTCTCGAAAAGAACGGCGAAAAATCGGGCGGTTAGACCAACAACACCGTGCGGGCCGAGTGACGAAACTCGCTCCGTCTCTCTTGGCCGTCCCCGAAGCCAACGCGTGCAAAAGAGAACGACTACTCTCACTTTCACGCCGTGAACTGGCCTCGCGAGCTCACTTCGGCGGGTCGTCAACCGGCAACTGGGTCAACTGGTTAACAGCCTGCGAACTCTATCGCCAGGCTTCAGTCCTACGTCGATTCCGAACACAATCAGACGTGCGATCAGGTCGTAGACCAACGCGTTTTGTTCTTCTTCAACCACTAATAACCGCTCTGTGCGTTATTTTTGAAGTTATGATTATCTAATAATTCTCAAAACAAAATTAGAAAAAAATATTAAAGTGAATCATGATGGCTGTGTTACCGTGTACGGAGTCCTTAGTGTCGTCGCACGAAAAGAGGGTGCCAAATAACGAGCCTCACAGTGCTGACGAGAGCGGGTGCGAGTCAGGGGATGATTGCTCAAATAAAGATTGTCCGCAGGGTTTCTTCCGGCGCAGCATCCAGCAAAAGATCCAGTACAGGCCCTGCACCAAGAACCAGCAGTGCTCCATCCTGAGAATCAACAGGAACAGGTGCCAGTACTGCCGCTTGAAGAAATGCATCGCCGTCGGCATGTCCAGGGATGGTGAGTAACTTTTTTTATCTTCGTCTATCGTATCGAGAAACGTCACAAAAACGTACTTATGTAACGGATGTTAATGAAACGTTTTTACTAAATTTTCGAATGTTATATAAATATTAGCATTACTAAAATGTGATGTAGAGTAGCAGTTGTAATAAATTGGGAAATTACATGCGTAGGTATTTGGAAAAGCATTTAGTACCTACTTGAAGCTTTGTAAATTATACTAATATGGTTTCATACAGTAAAGTTAAATAATTTTTGGATTAAATAAAGTTATTGTAGATATATAAAACAGACACTATCTAATGACAGTATTGACTTAAAAGAAGAAACTAAAAATGCTTATATGTATTAAATTTGTCTTTTGTTTAAAAAAAGATATATTTTTGAACTTGTATGACATTGCATTAAAAGCTATTGTTTCAAAATAAGGAGTAGCGATTTTCCTTTAGAAAAAAGAACGATTCAATTTTTTATATAAGTAATATCTTTGGAACAGCTAACAATATATTTTAGTTAATTATACATAGTGAACTAATATGATGGGTGTAAAGCAAAATATGACGGTATAACATATTTTTCCAATAGTAATCGTAAGAATAAGTTTTTTTGTAAAATAATAATATACTTTATAGGGATCAAAAAATTGATCCAGATAATGTTTAATATTAAAATGACAAAAAATCTAAAAAAAGGTAATTTTTCATTTAAAAATAGATATATATTTTCGGAAATCTGCGCATATGACAAGAAAACATATTAAACTAATGGCGGCAGCTAAATACCTGGGCGACGTTTACCTAGATAAACAGCCTAGGTGCGCGGAATATAGGTCGCCCGGCCGTCGGGGTCTTTGACCGCGCGCAACCCAGCTCGCGAATCGGAACGCGCCGCGCAATCGAGAAAGTCCGAGAGGGCAACGAACTCGCGCGCTGGCGCTGCCTCTTGCACAAGCGATCTGCAGAGGCCGTCGACACCGCCGCTGCTGCTGCGTGAACCCGTCCGATCTGTTCTCGGAGTGTGCCACTTTTCGCGCACTTTTGTTCCCACCAACCGGTGCCGGCCGTTTGGGCTCGCGCGGCTTGCGTAACGAGCTTTGCGATAACCGAAGAAACGGCCTTGCCGAATATGGAAAAGAAAATGAAGGCGGTATATCGCAATGCTTGTTCGAGTAAGCTATTAAAAACAAGAACAAAAACTATAAACCTAGTAATTAATAATATAGTATCTCAACATTCGTTCTTATTTGAATTAAAACATATCTTTCTTTTATGTGTAATATGGAAAAGAAAATGAACGCGTAATGCAATATGTGTTCATGTTTTCACTACAAAAAAAAAGAATAAATACAGTTTTTACACATTTTGAATAACTTACCTAAAGCATGATGAAATGTGTACAAAACTGAAATCCTTAGTAGGTAAATAAATATTAAACAAACAGACAAAATTTACTGTTAAATTATTACCTAATATTTAAAGCTAATAAATATTAGCAAAATACAACCTTGATTTCTTATTTTTGATCCTTGTTTAAACTTTATTGCTCATACTATAGTTTTAATGTTTTTCCAAATTTTGAAAATGTAGTTTCTTTGTAGCTGCAGCTCATTTTTTTATTAAAATCAAAACTGTTTTCCGTTTAATGTTTTTCAAAAATAAATCACACATGTTCTTCTTTTTTGAATAGTACGGAAAGAAAATTTGGATTTTTTTTTAAATTTTTCAGTTAAAAAACATAATATCTTGATAATATGGCAACATTAGATCGTAGATTAAATTTACAAGAAAGAAAACCTAGAAAACACCCAGTGGTTCTCAAAATTTAAGCAAAAAAATATTTTTTTTTGTGCTTAATAAATAAATTTAATTTTCAAAATAAAATAAATTGGTTACCTTCGACTTATTTGAAAAACGGTCAAGAGAAAATACGTTACTCTTATCGAGATCTACCAGCCCTGAAAATATTTGCCACTTGTCCTGTATACTCACCAACTTTAAAGCAAGTTTAAAATTGATCCTGAAAGCTGATTTATTATTACCTATTCGTATTGAAAATAAAAGTTCTGTATTAGACTTTCACTTCAATGTGACCACTATTTATTAGCAATTGTTTGAAACTTAATAGTAATTGTTGATGCTTTCTATTTTGTGGTATTGCTGACAGATTTAGGGTAAAAAAAATTAAAAAAGTACAAACTCTTAAGGAAAGTAACTATTTTATAATAAAACCACTATATTAAAATTCAAAAATTAGTTTTGTGCTTACTTTTTAACAGTAAGTAAACTTGGATAATACGAGACAAAAAAAGAGTGTGGAGAGATACGGGAGTCTTTGATCAAAACAAGACGATTTCTCTTCTAAGCACCTCGATTTCTTAGAAATCAACGGTTCGTTCTCCTAATTATGTCTTAATTGGTTTAGTTACACAACCGGCGTTGTTGTTGCACGTAAAACTATGCCCCATCGGGAGAAAGTCGATGCAAATGGCGTTTCTTCGCGACCGAGAATGAAAGTTTCGTGCCCCTCGCTCGGTCGTAGCCCCCATCGAGAAAGTTCCTTATTTCGTAACCGCCGATTCCGTTTTTACGCTCGGAGAAATTCTCTCACCTCTTTCCCGCTCACCTTAAACTCATTGCGATTTCACGATGGCGACATACAAGCATTTGACCCAAAAAACGGATATTATTTTGCGATTTCAAATAATTTAAAAAAATGTCGTTAAATTCGAGGATTATTTCGGCGTTTCGGCAACGCCGCCTGAACTCGTTTCGAAGCGCTCGTGTAGGTGGCGGCGCCAAACGCTAAACACCTGAACTAATTCACTTGAGCGCCTGCTCTCTGTTTGAATGGTTCGGCGGCGCTCTGAATCGCAGAGGTCAATAATCTATTTCGACCTATAATGCACTGTATAATTTTTGTAGGATAAATAACATAAGTTGTTGACGGTTAATTTTGTATAGCAATCGCTAGATAGAGACGTATTTTTCCGAAGGTTGTTTGGCAACGATTATCTATCTCTACCGCAATGTGTTTACCTCGAAATGTTTCCAGGAAAAAAATACGTGCGGAGATTGTTATTTTGTTACAAAGTTCAGATTTGTAACACGATGACGCTCCCGCCAGCAGCATTTCTCCGACAACAAGGTCGAACCTATCTCGTTAGAAACGTATTTTGTTTTATTTTTACGCTATTCGATCTGTTTGAACAGGGATAATCTGTTATGACTTTTGTTGTGTAGAAAAATGTGAAAAGTGAGTAGGTTTACCGTGTTTTTATTTTATTTTTTAAACAATTTGCGTATAAGTTTATAAATAATATGCCAGTTTCTGTCTTCAGATCTTTTAGATTTTTTTTATGAATAATATAACGATTTATTTCTACAGATTACTGCTGAATATTGTCTAAAATATATCTGTTTTAAATAAAAAGAAACTGGGTTCAGAATTCATGGATGCAAATTTCTTGGTGGCGCTTTGCTTGATTACAAATTTGCTAAACAACCATAAACAATGTCAAAACATGTTTTCTTTAGCAGTTACTATTTTGGAAAACATTCACCAGAAAGTTCAGAATCGCAGAACCAACGTGAAATTTTCATTTTTTCTTTGTAGCATGAATTGGCGAGGCTGTACGTTTGTCATTACAGGCGAAGCACATAAAGTAATTTTTAATCCGAATAGAACATGATATTTTTTCTCAAAAGTTTCAAATAATTTTTTAAACAATTTCTACGGTTGCAAATTATATAAAAATATTTAAAAGTAATTATATAGGTATCGAGAAACTATTTTTACGCCCGCTGAATTTGACACTTTAATATGTCAGTTTATATTATATATAGACGTTAAAATTATTTTTTTTGTGACGTTTGAAAAAAACATAATTGCCTACTTGTTTCTTTCTACTTACATATTAATTTATTTAAAACATTCTTTGTGACCATAAAGAAGTATGAAAAAAACTCAGACAATAAAAAAATATGAAAGAACAAAATAAAAAGACAATGAGTTAAAATAATAGGAATTGGAAAAAAAATGGAAAGGATTGAATAGAAGTAAAGATGTAAAAGTAGTGAAAGGCCGGTACAAAGCGAATGAAACGGCAGCGCTGCGGCGTGGCATAGAAAACAAAGGAGTGGCGTTGTAGGCGGCCGCGGTGGCGGCCTTGACGCCGTCCTACCTCGCTATCGGTCGGAGCGTCAGCGCAACGCTCCAAGTTCAAGGGTGATGGAGGGGAGCGAGTGGGGAGCGTAGCGGGCCGCCGCGGCGTGTTCGCGCCATTCGCACGTCGACGTCCGCCGTAGTCGGGAATGCCAGGTCGCGCGCTCCTTCGCTACGCCAGCAGCCCGGTCGTCCGAGCCGTGCCGCCAAACGACAAGTGCAAGATGGCCGAAGAGCTACCCATACTCAAAGGGATCCTCAACGGAGTCGTCAACTACCATAACGCACGTAGGTGTCCGCCTTTTCCGTGTTTTATTTTTTTTTCCGTCATCGTGAATCGCTTTCATTGACCCACACTTTCATCGCGTGAAAGCCAGCCGAATTTCTCTGCCTGAGATCTTCGTTGTACTTTCTCCTCGGTTTTTATTACAACAGCTGCTCTACATCTGCCCCGCGCTCTTTTACTCTATTTTATTTTAATGTGCTTTATACTAAATATTTCTTTTTCTTTTCAGCTGTCAGATTTGGTCGCGTTCCCAAAAGAGAAAAAGCCCGCATCTTGGCGGCAATGCAACAAAGTTCCAACTCTCGCACTCTGGAGAAAGCAGTCGCTGCCGAACTGGATGACGAGCAAAGGCTTCTAGCCACCGTGGTGAGAGCGCATATTGACACGTGCGATTTCACCCGGGACAAAGTGGAGCCCATGCTACAACGCGCCAGAGAGCAGCCCTCTTACACGGCTTGCCCTCCGACACTGGTGAGTTTTTATATTTTATTTCTGTGTTTGGTGTTATCTGCCTGTTTAGTGAAAGTACCTTGTCCTAGGACAAAGGCACTAGATTCTTGGCGCTAACGGCCTTGTCTATCGAGGGACAGGCGGAAATATTCAAGGTTCGAGGCCGTCTCTCTATCGGGTTTGCCGCTCTAAGGTACAAGGTTAACGCGCACTTGAACGCCTCCTGATGACACTGGTCGAAAATAACGTGTGGAGGTCGCTCAGATAATAAAGATCGTCATAATTATTAACTTGTTTTTTCTTTGCTATTATTTATCGCTTTCTATTGACAAAATATAAACTTACACCCAATTCGTACGTGACCTAATCGAATTTATAGATCCGTCTAGTTTTAACCTTCTATCGGAACGTTTAAAGGTTGTTCTATTTTTATTTTTGGCAGATATATCATCACGCACGTGAAATTTACATTTTTTATATTCTACCTTCAGACCACTAATTTGTATTATTTTATTTCAGGCATGCCCGCTGAATCCTAATCCGCAGCCACTGACTGGCCAACAGGAGTTACTCCAAGACTTCTCCAAAAGATTCTCTCCGGCCATTCGAGGAGTCGTCGAATTTGCTAAGCGTATTCCCGGCTTCTCTCTGCTCTCCCAGGATGATCAAGTCACCTTGTTGAAGGCTGGCGTTTTTGAAGTGCTACTTGTGCGCCTCGCGTGTATGTTCGATTCTCAAACAGCTAGTATGATCTGTTTGAATGGACAAGTGTTGAAAAGAGACTCTATACATAATAGCTCTAACGCGCGTTTTCTTATGGACAGTATGTTCGATTTCGCCGAAAGAATGAATTCGCTCAGATTATCCGACGCCGAAATCGGTCTTTTCTGCTCCATTGTGGTCATCGCCGCCGATCGACCCGGTCTACGTAACACCGAATTGATTGAGAAGATGCAAAGCAAGCTGAAACATTGCTTACAAGCAGTTGTTACCCAGAATCATCCCGGTCAACATCATATATTAGAAGAGTTGGTGAAGAAAATTCCTGATCTCAGAACGCTTAACACTCTCCACTCTGAAAAACTACTAGCATTTAAAATGACCGAACAGCAACAGATGATGCAGCAACAACAACATCATTTGTGGGGTTCTCCCTCTGAAGAAGAGAGCAATAGCAAGAGTCCAGCTGCATCATCATGGTCGTCCTCATCAGACGTTACTATGGACGAAGCTAAGTCACCTCTCGGTTCTGTTTCCAGTACGGAATCGATGTGCTCATCTGAAATGATCTCCAACGAATACCACCACGTGCAACATCACGTGAGTGCGAATGTCGCTAGTGCACCTCTTTTAGCCGCTACCTTGGCTGGAGGTCTGCCGCATCGCCATAGAGCAAACTCTGGATCCACTTCTTCCGGAGATGATGAATTGGCCGCAACATCACACCTAATCCATAATGGATTGACTATAACTCCAGTATCCAGACCGCCCGTTACACCAAGATTTAGAAAGCTAGATTCTCCTAGCGATTCTGGTATCGAGTCAGGCACAGAGAAAGTTGATAAGCCAACTTCAGTTTGCTCCAGCCCCAGATCATCTGTAGATGACCACCATATTGTAGAAGATATGCCTGTTCTAAAACGAGTTCTTCAAGCACCCCCATTATACGACACCAACTCTCTAATGGATGAAGCGTACAAGCCGCATAAGAAATTCCGCGCTTTAAGAAACAAAGATTCCGCCGAGGCAGAACCTGCGGTAGTTGTTTCACCACAACCGCAACCAGTGTCTCAGCTGCAGATGCAACTTTCGTCTCCACCACAATCCTCACTGTCCAGCTCCCATTCTATGCTTGCTAAGAGCCTTATGGAAGGTCCACGTATGACAGCCGAGCAAATGAAAAATACCGAAGTCATACACAGCTACATCATGCGTGGCGAGTCAGCACCTGCAGCGTCACCCCATGTGACGGCATCTCCAACGGCCTGCCCTTACAAAAGCGGCGGCCTTCTGCAGCCTGCCTGGGCCACCAGTGTCATCACCAGCGCCCGTTCAGCTTCCAGCCCGCTGCAACTGCACCCTCAGTCGCCGCACTCCACCTCGCCGGCTCCCCCGCAGTCGAGGTCACCGCGGAGTCCGCACCCTCCGCGGCTTCTAGAGCTGCAGGTGGACGTGGCCGACTCGCAGCAGCCCCTCAATCTGTCCAAGAAGTCGCCGTCCCCGTCGCCGCGACCCAAGGTGGTTACGCTAGAGGTGTAGGTCGACCCTCGGCCCAACAACAGTACAAAGTGGAGTGCGCGTGTCCGCGGTGAGAGACTGTCAGCCTTGCCCGGGCCTTCTGGTGCCACTTTAATCGTATGCAAACCAAATAATTCGTAAAGCTGTATATTCATTCACCTTACTATCGCTGTCTATATTATCTGTATGTCGATGTGTGACCATGTTGTAGTGTAGTCACCCTGTATAGTTACTTCCTGAGCCATGGTGGGCGCCGACTTTGTACATAGCGGACCAACCCTGCGCGGTCGCCCACCACCCTTTTAGTTAGGACTCCATTCAAACAATCAGTAATTTAAATAGATAATCTGTAAATAGCTATTTATGATTAATTCTGGCATCGGCACCCAATCAATCCTATCTTATAGATTTATTATATTATTTGTTAATATTATATATGTGATAAATTGATTTGTAGGATATATTTATAAGTTTTGTGTTAAATTACGTATCTCAGTTTGTAAAAATCCATAATCATCGATCGTTCACCCATGATTGCATCCTCATCCCGTCATGTATTTGTATCGCCACCATTTTTCATTTAGAGATAGGCGCGAGTCGGAGAGGAGACCCTGAGACTGAGGGGGGACTCCCCCACCCACGTACTAGGCCCTGACAAGAAAGGGTCAACTCACCGTTCGGGGTGCCCTCCATTGTTAGTCTCCCGCTCGCAATTAGGACGTGATCAGTTCTGCCCTCAACCCGCGAAGTGACTGCCGCTGCTGGTCGTTACAAAACTAGCGGGTTCGTCACTTCCGCCATTTCATATCGTCGAATTAATTAATATTTAATTTATCTATTCTCCAAGGAACGCGACCGGCAACTTGCGTTGTCTGTGGCGGTCCGAGGAGTTCCCTACTTATTGCTGTAATAATTTTATAAATTGGGAGCTTGTTGAGGCCGACAGAATAAAACGTCTTGGTGATATATAATTATTATTGCATTTTTATTTAAACCTCACCCTTCCATTCCAACCAAAAAAATATAAACTACTTCAAAAAGAAGATAATCTTAATTATGTAAAAAGAAATTTAACAATGGCTAATTAAAACATATAAATCCTTGGCTTGGATTATTTATTGAAGATAAAAAAATAGATTGTGCAAAGACAAAAAAACAAATATGACAGATAACAAAGTAAATAAAAAAAACACCTCTAAATAAAATATTGAGAAATGGAAGAATTGAGAACTTAGAAGTTCCTATCTCCAACATAGGCTCTAGACACAAAAATAATCAAAAAGTAAAAAATATTAAAGTGCAACTATAAACGGAGCAACGATACTCTACAAATGACTAATTGGAAATAACAGGTAAGTATATTATTGTATTATCATGCTTACCCCCCTATTGCATAACACTTACACATATTAAAATTTTAAATGGAGAAAATAAATAAAAAAAAAATCAGAAATCAAGTGTTGAGTTTTAAAAACTCGTATTAAGAACCTATATCCCGGGATTGGCTATCAAAATGAGAAATTTAATCCAAAGAAATACTTAATAAAAATACAACTGCATATACAGGGTGTCCCAGAAATAAGTGCAAGTATTTTAGAAGGTGGTAGATCTCGATAAAAGAAACATATTTTTTATCGTTTTTCAAATAAGTCTAAAATACCGGAGTTATTTTACTTTGAAAATTAAAAAAAAATGATTTTTTACTCAAATTTTAAGAACCACTGGATCTCTTCTGGGTTTTCTTTCTTGTTAATTTAATCTAATACCTTTGTTGCCATATTATCAAGAAATTATGTTTTTTAGCTAAAAACTAAAAAAAATTCCAAAAAATTTCGAATTTTCAAAAAAAAAAATTCGCGAAAAAAACTCATAGGCGTGTTTCTGGGGTTGAACTATACTACCATTTAAAATACTTGCACTTATTTCTGGGACACCTTGTATACAAAGAGAATACAACTACATATATCAAAAAGAAAATGAGAAAAGAGCTTTATGAAAATAGACAAAAAAAAGTGAGTTTCATACTTAGGAAGTAAAAAAAAATACAATTATTTTTGTAAAACAAAATAAAATACAGCAAGCAAGGAGATATAACTTAGATATTGACGTTCTGCTTAGTATAAATTAAATATGATCTTTGAAAGACTAAAGTGGGTATAAAGTCGAATCATTTTAGATTGGGCATTTAAATTTGTCGAGATTTTCTGGATCCCGGGATATAATATTGGGATTTCGAGGATAAACATACATCGGCATCCCGGTTTGAAAACCCGAATTCTACGTTATGTAGTATATGTATTTTAACTAACTATATTTTAACAGATAATAATTCCTTTTTGAATAAACATATTTTGGTGTAACTCCTTATCAAAACCAGCGAACTAAAATTTTGGATATGAGAATTCTCGGCAAGACACCTAACACAAGCTATTAAAAAAATATAAACCTAAACAAGATGAATATGAATTTAATTAATTTTTTGAAGTCTGCCAAACGAGAAGACATAACAGTGACAATATGATGACAATCATTATCTGTCATGTTAATTCACAGGTATATTGTTATTAATGTCATTTTTTGGATGTCGCTTGTCGAAATTTTCCAAGTCGTTGGACAGTCTACTGTAATTTTGAATATGGTCTAGCTAAAGAAACTTCGTCTATATTGTTATTGTCTGAATATCATCCGCTATGCACAGGAATTTCCGAGACACCCTATATAAGATTTAAGCAGAATGATAATTAAAAATAATTTTATGTACGACTAGATATTTATTCACGACCTTGTTCGGGACAGAATATCTATAAATAAAGATAGTCTTGCACTGATGGCTCGGATTATAAAAAAAAATAGTCTAAACTATCCTCCCAAAAATTCTCTCTACCTGCCAATGACGAACAAAGATGAGAAAGTCCTTCCTGGCTCAGAATGGGTGCACCCAGTTAAATGTACAGGATTTTACAGAGATATACAGTGTGTCCCAGAAATAAGTGCAAGTATTTTAAGGGGTGGTAGATCTCGATAAAAGAAACATATTTTCTCTTTATCGTTTTTCAAATAAGTAGTAGTAGTATATTTTTTGCTAAAATTTTGAGAACCACTGGATCTTTTCTGGATTTTCTTTCTTGTAAATTTAATATAATACCTATGTTGCCATATTATCAAGAAATATTGGTAAAAATTATGTGTTTTAACTAAAAACTAAAAAAAAAATCCAAAATTTTTTTCAAATAATTTCGAATTTTAAATTTTTTTTTCGCGAAAAAAAACTCATAGGCGTGTTTCTGGGGTTGAACTATACTTATTTCTGGGACACCCTGTATATACATGATGCACAGAGGTATTCACTGTGTTATTTACAGGCTTGCCTATTAAAAGTAGTAAAAAACTTTAAATGTATAGTTCATACCAAATAAACTTTTAGTCACGTGATTAAGCTTGACCGGCACAGCGTTTGTCCACTTTTATATATTTTGTTTTAATCAAAATATTTTATTGGAAACAAAAATAAATTAATTATATATATACAGGGTTGTTCACCACATACGACACGGAGTATTGTAGCTAAACGATTAGATTTTTATAAATTGTAAGTTTTGGGTTCGTTGAAGGACTATTAGAGCTACAATTTAAAAATATTTTTACGAGATACAGAGTGTCCCAAATAAATAAAAAATATCAAAGTTGTATTTTTTTAAATGGAACACCCTGTATATTATTACATTTTTAGTTTCTACGATTAAAATAAAGGTAAATTTGATTAAAGCTTACCGCACTTTAATCTTACCGTTTTTGAAATATTTTCAATTTTGGGAAATTGCAGTCAAAATTTTAAGGCTTCATTTCTCCAAGGGTATCAGAGTTTTTAATACTAAATATTTACTGAAGTTTATTTATTGATCAGTTATTGTGTTGCAATAATAAAAATTAAACTACCTTATACAGAGTGTCTAAAATTTAATTTTAAATAATTACTAGCTTTAAACGGCAATAACTTGCTTAATTTAAATAGAACACCCTGTATATTTTATGAGATCAAATTGTAATATGCCATTTTTTACCTATCTCTGAAGTTTCCGTAGAAAATGCATTATCTTGTAATTTATAACTCATTTATCAATATACCCAGGGAATACTGACATTTTAGATTATTTTTAAAGATGTACCAAATTTTTAAAGAGTACAGATACTAATATTGTCGATATAGTTTGTTTATTTCACTAAGAAATAAAAAAAAACTTTTTAAATTTTTGTTAAAGAGGACCAATTAATATGATTCCAGTATTCAAACTACATTAATTGACTGTTTGCGTTGATTAATAATAATTGCTTCAAATACTAAAAAACTAAATTTTGTATGTGTATTAGACAGTGTAGTAAAAAGTAACACCTTAAAAATATTTATTTTTTTGACAAATGCTTATTTATAACAACAGAAACATTCATTTTCATATTCATGACTTATTATTATATTGATTTCTGATTCAAATTCACATTTATTTAGAATAATTTATTAACGAACATAATTAAGCATGTAATTAATTAATATTTGTGCGGAAATAATGGTGGTATATTTAATTAATGGTATACTCTTTTATAAAGAGTATACCATTTTTTTTATATTTAAATAGTTTTCTTTTTGCATACAAATGGGCTAGTAATATTATCATTTTGCTAAAAACGATAATATTACTAGCCTGTACATTTTGTATATTTGTTGCTTTAAAAACAATCTAAAATGTCAATATTCCATGGGTATATTGATAAATGAGGTCTAAATTATATGAAAATGCATTTTCTACGAAAACTTGAAGGGATAGGTAAAAAGTGGCATAATACAATTTGATAGACAATTAAATTGTGCATCTGATTCTCCTAAAATATACAGGGCGTTCCATTTAAATTAAACAAGTTATTGCCGTTTAAAACTAGCAATAATTTAAAATAATGTTTTAGACGCTCTGTATGAGGTAGTATTATTTTTATTATTGCAACACAATAACCGATCAATAAATAGACTTCAGTAAATATTTAGTATTAAAAACTTGGATACCCTTGGAGAAATGAAGCCTTAAAATTTTTACTGCAATTTCACAACATTGAAAATGTTTCAAAAACGGTTAGGTTTAAGTATAATAAACCCTAAACAAATTTACCTTTATTTTAATCGTAGAAATTAAAAATGTAATAATATACGGGGTGTTCCATTTAAAAAAGTACAACTTTGATATTTTTTATTTATTTGGGACACTCTGTATCTTGTAAAAATATTTTTAAATTATAGCTCTAATAGTCCTTCAAGGAAACCAAAACTTACATTTTGTAAAAATCTAATCATTTAGCTACAATACTCCGTGTCGTATGTGGTGAACAACCCTGTATATATATATATATATATATATATATATATATATATATATATATATATATATATATATATATATATATATATATATATATATATATATATATATATATATATATATATAGAATTTATTGGGCAAGTCCACAGAAAGATTAGTCATGATACATGACTAAAACATGACTACCCGTAGACACTCAGTGTTTCTGTCTTCCGGCTTCATCAATACGGGAGGAATCAGCAACGATGAACTAGCGATCCTGAAAAAAGAGAAAGAAAAGGAGAAGCAAACGAGGCACAAAGGCGCCATTTGTAGCTGGTCTATATAAATAAACAATTATTTACATCAACAAAACCCACTTTCTTAACAGCACTTAAGGGACATAAAAGACCATTAATACCGCTTTCACGTTCAAAATATTATAACAGTGTTGCGATGAGTTTTTTACGGCTATTAAGATATCTTGTACACTTCGCACTAAAAGAGGTTCTAAAAAGAACAATGTTCGACTGCAACGTCTGCTAGTAAACATTTTTAAGTTTAAAGTATCACAACACTATTTATTTAAACTAAAAACTCGTAATACAAAACTAAAGTGTCAAAACGAATGA